CTGATGTAAAACTGAGTTAAGAGGCAGAGTCTTTCTCTCCCCATCACGTAAATGGCCTAGTGGAAGGTTCCCTGCCCGTGGCAGGGGTTGGAACTGGATGATCTTTCAGGTCCCTTCCAGCCCAAACCCTTCTGTGATTATATGATTCTAAATCCAGTTTGGTACATAAAGCCACTCACACCTTTTATTCCTGCGGGCACAGGCTGTAGTCTGGAAGATTAGATAAAAGATAGTGGATAATCATCTCCTGACAGCAGTTGGATCCAAAGAGTTAGCAAGGCTGCGTTACCTCCCTGGTTAAAAAAAGAACGAGACTTTGGGAGGTGAGGAGGGTGGGGAAATGTTTTGAGCCGTGTTTCCCTGGATATTTGTGTCCTCCAGCAATGCCAACAGTTGTGTCAGAGGGGATAAATCAGGGTTGCTCTACAAAGGTCGGGGGAACGGAGCCGAGTTCAGGCTCAGGGGGGTGAGGGATGTGAAGGGAAGGTCTCCTGGCGCAGCACTGACAATCTTGGGACTCGTGGCTGACGCTCATCCCGTGACTAACCAAACCAGAGCAGCATTAACGAGCTTGGGAAGGTGCTGTGGGAGCAGACAGAGCACACACACCCCCTCCCCACTTCCTCTGGAGTAGGGAAAGGGAAAAGAGGAAGGACTTGCTGGAGTAAGGCTGCTGGAGTGTTTGGAAGGCGGGTGTTGCAGAGCAGAGCTGCTGCCAACTGCGCTGGTTACTTCAGGGAGTTTGTTTTTCCTGCCAAGAGCTGCTGGCCTGGGAACCGGGTACAGCACGTGTGAGACAGCGTGGAGGGAAGGGGAGGAGGGATGAGGGGCTGCAATCAGCACCAGTCCCTGCTGGGGGGGTGTTGGGGTGCTGGTGGACATGGGATGTCCAGCCCTGGGCGCAGGCACAGCGAGGGATGGGAGATGTGAGCAGTGACTGAGTGGGAATGGGAGTGGGGATGGGAGTGGGAGTGGGAATGTGTGTGTGCACAGAACCAAGGGTGCCACTTGGCCCTGCCTTTGGCAGGACGCTCTGCTGTCTCTGCTTGGTCTTGTCTGCAGACAAGCAGTGCCTCTGCCCAGGCTGCTTTCTCCAAAGCCAGGAGAGTGGTACCCACCCGACCACCCCCTGCCCTGGGTGGTGCTGACACCACTGTGTCAGCTGCATGTAAATAAATATTTTAGGGTGAGGATGGGGAATCACAGGCAAAGGTTTTCCAGGTGCCCCAGCCCTGGAAACACTTGGGGAAAGGTTGGATGGGGCTTTGAGGGACCTGCTCTAATTAAGGATGTTCCTGCCCATGGCAGGGGGTTGGAATGGGATGGTCTTTAAGGTCCCTTCCAACCCAAAGCATCCTGTGATTCTGTGTCCTGCAGCCACCCCCTGCCACGTTCAGAGCTGTGCATTGGAGTGTTTGCACCGCAGAGAGCTTTGCAGGGGCTGTCCGTGCCTCAGTCTCCCTTTGCACTGAAAGAAGGTTTACAGGTAGATTTTGGCAACGACCAACGATCTTAGGGATCTTTTTCTGACTTGAACCCATCTCTGACTCTGTGGCCTGTGTGCAAACAAGTAGGAATTGTGGACAAGAGGGGTGTCAGAGGGTGGGGGCGTGTCTGTGCTCGCACCGAGCTGTTGTTCTGTTTGGGATGTGGTTCGGGTGGGATTGGGCACGAGCGTGGGCTGGGATAGCTGTGGAGCTACAGGGGAGGGTGCACAGGCAGGGCTGAGCCCGTGGCTCAGGGATCCCACAGGATCTCCATCCGAGCCGCTCCATCCCCAAATTCCCCGCGGGATTCGCTTCTATTTTGGGTGTTCCTCCACGCACCTTCGCTCCCGCCTCCCGCCCGGCCCTCGGGGCCCGAAGAGCGGCTCTCCCGCACTCGCTGAGGAGCAGCGGCAGGAGAAGGAGCGGTTCCCTTGGAAACCTCTGGATGCCCAGCAACAAGTCGCTGGCAGCTGCCATGTGACCAGGTGCATTAATCAGACGCGTTGTACGAATCAGGTCAGCCGGGGCCAAAGTCCAGCGCGCTCCCCCCGCCTCGCTCCGTTGCTAATTACCGAGCCCGGAGGGCCGCTCCGGGTAGGGGGTGGAAAACAACTTGGAGTGATTCAATCAAACGGTGACCTTTCCTGTTGAGGATTCTAAGTTCATGCCAGACTTTCTCCGTGAAAAAAAAAAAAAAATCTGTCCGATCCCCTCTTCCACTAAAAAAAAAAAAAAAATATCTTGGGTGTAAATGAACGAGGCAGAGGAGTCTCCCGAGGTGGGAAAGCCAGAGGGGACGAATGTGCCGTGGACATTGAGAGTTTTCAGGTCTTGACTCACAACAAGCCCAACATTTCATCTTTGGAACGAGTAGCTCGGGCTTGAGACACTTTGGACTGGGCAGGGAAAGCTCGAGTTCCCCCCTTGGATCCCTCTGAAAATCATGTTTCTGAAATCTCAACGGGCCAAAATGACTTCTCAGATGGCACGGAGAGGACTGGAGTCCAAAGCGCTGCCCAACAGCCCCCAGAGAAGAGGCTGCAGCTCTCAGGGAAACAGCAGTGCCTGTGCCCCTCTCACCCCTTGTGAACTGCTATGAAATGGTTGTTCTTTGTAGAGACAGAGAATTGGAACTGTGGACGGGCTGGGAGAGCTGGGGGGGTTCACCTGGAGAAGAGAAGGCTCCAGGGAGACCTTGGAGCCCCTTCCAGGGCCTAAAGGGGCTCCAGGAGAGCTGGAGAGGGACTGGGGACAAGGGATGGAGGGACAGGACACAGGGAATGGCTTCAAACTGAAAGAGGGGAAATTTAGATGGGATACTGGGGAGGAATTCCTGGCTGTGAAGGTGGGGAGGATGGATTTCCCAGAGAAGCTGTGGCACCCGTCTTATCCCTGGAAGTGTCCAAGGCCAGGTTGGAGCAACCTGGGATAGTGAAAGGTGTCCTCGCCCATGGCAGGGGGTGGAACAAGACGAGCTTTAATGTCCCTTACTGTGGCTTTCCTTTCCAGTAGGATCTCCTAAGGGAATTAGGTCCCCAAGTCTCACTTTCCTTTGAAGGTCCATTGTGGATGGATCTGGGCACCCTCAGCATTTCCCACAAGATGCTGTTTACAGCTTCAAGCTTCCCATTCTCCCCAAACTCCTGCTTTGCCAGGACAAAGCCACGAGGAACAGCTTCCAGGTTTGGCTCCTGAATGGAAATCCCTCCCAGAGTCACATCCAAGGCCAGGCACTAACGAGGCTGTAACATCTCCTTGTACCTGAACACCAGCCCACATTCTTTGTGCTGTGACTAATGCACCACAAGGTCAGCAGGTACTGCCAGTGCCATCCCCTCCTTCAGGGCCAGTCACTGATTTGTGTCACACACGGGGACAATCTGCTCCAACCCAGCTTTCACCTCAGGCAACAGCAACAGGTTCTGGGCTGGTGGGAGCCAGGGAAAGGATTTGGCCCATAATCCATCATGGCATGGGGAAAAAAAACCCTAAACAAACAAAAAGAGTTGGAAACAGAGCACCTGGTTTTATTCTAATTGTGCTGTAATTTGAATAGCAGCCAGTGCCACTCAAAAATGGGCTCCTTCATGTCATCTGCTCTTACTTCCAGGGCTTTGGAGCCTCTTACTTTCCTGCAGAAGATCCATCCCAAATCAGACCTGAACGTGGGTCTCACGTATTACCCAGAGGTCTCAAGTATTCCCCAGACCAAGCCTTTAACTCTGGACCATTTTGATTTCTATCTAATCAATGTTGCAAACAATTATAATTTTTCCTTTGGTATCAGGTGATAGCACATCCCGTGCACAGGGTATGCCAGAAGACAAAGCTTTACCTCAACTGATCATTTAGGATAATTTAGGGTAATCTTGAAGAACTGATGTTTGCAGCCTGGGTGTTTGCCATCTAAGAGGCACAACACAAACCCATCCCAGCTGAGGAGGGGGTTTGGGAGTAGATTTGTTTTCCCTGCTGAGTGCTGTGCTCTCTGGCACACTCGAGGGGATAGCTGTCTGACCCCCTTGCTCTGGGAACGGGAGAGATCCCCGTGGATTCCAGGTCCTCACATCAGGGCTTCCTCTCAGCTCGGAGGAAACGGAGGGTCGGGGTTTGTGCACGCTCCAAAAACAGGGTGAGAAAGGCTGGGGATTCAGGGTGAAGCTTGGCTTGCCCACTGGGAAAATCTGGGAAAAATCTGGGAAATCAGAGCCCGCCAGGGCGAGAGAAAGAACCCCCAGAGGTGGCAAGAACGGGCCGGTGGGGTTGGATCCGACCCCCGCGAGGCAGCCCCTCCTCGCTCAGAGCGGAGCACAGGGCGATCCAGGCGGGCTCTCCCGGCGGGCTTTCCCCGCTCCCAAACCCGCGTCCCTCCCGGGCAGAGCTCCGAGCGCCCTTCCCGTGCTCTGCCCCGTTCCCAGGGCTCGGTTCCCCCCCCGGTCGGACCTGTTGCTGTCCCCCCATCGCTGCCGCGCGGCCGGCACAGGCTGTGGGGCTGAGGCGCGGGCGGGTCCATGATGTAATGCTGCCGCAGCTGCCCCGAGCCGCCGCTCCCGTTGGCCGAGCCCGACAGTCCCCGCCCGGCCGCTCCTCCCGCCGCCCCCCCGGCGGCCCCATAAAAGCCCTGAGGCAGAGGCAGGGCAGCTTCGCCGGCCCCTCCGCCGCTCGGCTGACCCAGCGCCAGCTGAGCCCCGCGGGGGACACCTGTGGAGCCCGTCCCGCTTTTGCTCGGGCACGGGGACCGCGGCGGGGCTCGGGGGATGCTCGGGGGAAGCTCCGGGGACGCTCCGGGGACGGGTCCGGCCTCCCCCGGCCCTGGCTCTGGGAGCCGAGGGGGTTCCCGGCCGTATCCCGGAGGGATCCCGGCCACAAACCGGGGGGCATCCCGAAGGGATCCCGGCAGGATCCCGGCATCAGCACCACGGACAGAGCCCGGCGGCGCCAATGGGCAGGGCTGGAGCGGGACACGAGCCGGGCATCCCTGACCCCGCACCGGGCACCGGGCACCGGGCACCGGGCACCGGCACCTGCCCCGACCCTCCCCGGACAACAACACCAGGTCCCCGAGGCGACGCTGGACTGTTCCCCGGCCAGGGAGGTGAGTCCGGCCCCGGAGGGGTCTCTGCGGGACGGGGAAGGCGGGAGAGCGGGAAAAGGGAGCGGCACAGCCCCGCAGGTGCCAGGGCAGGGATGCCCGGGTCGTGTCCCGGTCCTTCTCCTTGGCAGGAACGCACGAGGGTCGGGAGATCACCCCGAGCACTCGGGGGGGGGGGGGCAGTTTGGGGTCTGGCCAAGAGCCAAGGGCTGGCTGAGGTGGGACATTGGGAGGGATGGGATGGACTGGGACAGGCGCAGATGCCTTTTCCAAGGTAGGACACACTCACAGCCCGGGGTAAGGCAGGGAATAAAACCATTTGGAAAGTCAGGAATGGTCGTACGAACCCAAATGTAACCTGCACCCTGCACCTGCCCAACATCAAAGCTTTGTGTAGGAAACCCCCAAATCCTCGTTTTCAAAGTGTGCCTGCCCGGGTCGTTCGTGTGTAAAGTTGTTTTTAATATCCCCTCGTTTGTAGGAGATATTTCACCAAGGTGCTTTGGGGAGCCAATGCTTCAGTGAACAACTCTTTGAAAATATTTCTCCTCCATGGTTGGTTCTGAGCACTCAAAATTTGCCTTGATGCACTTTGGGTCTGTTGACAGATTGTGTTGTATTAAAGTGCTCATTGGCTAAATCAGGGTTGATTTTTTTTCCCCAAAATGTTCCTCTCAAAAAAAAAAAAAAATCCAAAAAACCCCAAAGTGTTTTGTTTGCTTGGTTTGGGTGATTTTTGATTTTTTTTTTTTCAATTTTATTTTGACAAAATTAAAATCACGAAGTATTCAACTCCGCCTCGAGCTGCAATAAAAAAATTTTCTCCTCTTTTTGGTTATAAAACCAAGGATCTAATATAGAAAATAGAAAAGCTTAAATATTGAAGTGTTTGAGCACTTTGGAAATGGAGCATTTCCCAGAGCCATTGTCAGCAGGGGTGATTTGCTGCATTTGTTTTATCTCCATTTTTGGAGGCTGAGATTCACTAAACAAATCCCTGTTCACTGGAAATTCCCCCCCAGCCCTGCTAAATGTGTGTTTAAACACTTTGCTGAGCAGAGGCTCAACCAGGGGGTTTAATCCAGGCTCAGCCTGGCCCCATCTCCTGTCTCTACACTTGGATTTTCCCTGAGTAATGTTGGCCTCTGGGAGGAAAAGGAAACAAGCTCTGTTCTCCATTTTAAGGAAACTCCTATTTGCTGTTTCAGAATTAAATAAAAAAAAAAGAAGAAAAACATTTGAACAGAGTGTTATTTCCTTTAAGGCCTTGAATATCCACATGGCCTTCAAAGACATATTATAGACATTGAAAAAAACTGTGGAGTGGAAACGCTTCCCTATGGAATTTGAGTGGAGAGATACCTTTGTTATCCCTCTGTAAATCTTTTTAACGTCTCCCATCAGTTCTCTGTGTGCACAGTGACTCTGATCTGTCCTAAATCCTACCTTCTGCTGAGGTTCAGTTTGGGCAGTGCCTTTTCCCCTCCAGCACCAACATCAGGCGTTTTTCCCTTTGAAGTTCAGCTGTAAAATAAGGGGGGGAGGGGGAGGGAAATCACGTTCTTTGCTCCCAAACAGAAGAAGCCAGAAAATTATATTGCACCTAATACCTATTCCTGCTTTTCTGGGTTTATTCCTCATTCTGGGAAATTGCCTAATCAAATTTCATATTTAATATAAAAACATAGGAGGGCAGATGATATCATATCCTAACTAAATTTTGTGTTGTTCAGAGCACTGCTTAATCAAAGTTACATTTCCATTTGTTCAGGGAGTATTTTGTCACTTCATTTATTTTTCACTGGCCATTTTCTGTAGATCTCATAGATGGATCCAACCCTGCCCCTGACAGAGGTCTCTGAAGAATTCAGGGGATTCGGGGTAAGGTCTGATCTAAATTCAGTTTAATTCCTGACCCTTTAAGCACTCAGACTGGAAACTAGTCCGGCAGGTGGGTCCCACATCACCTGCTGGATGGAAACATTGGAAGTTTTGTAGGAAATAAACACCCTGTGGCTTTTTGTTAGTTCAAATCAAACAGAACTAAAGGCAGGATCCTCCTTCCCTCCTCCTCCTCCTCCTCCCCGCAGACAGACGATGTTCCAGCCTCCAGTCTCTGTGTGCCTTGCACAAATATTTGTCTGTGTGTGGCTGCCACTCCGCTGCAATCGTGGCATCTGGGAGTAGCTGGGAGACTGGGAGGTGCTTGGGAATCTCAGCAGGAAAAGGAGAGTGGATTTCAGATGCCGGATCGGTGACAGCCCTTTGGGCTGGGATAAACACGGCGAGGCCGCTCCCCCTCGGGCTGAGGTTTGTTCTGCCCCAACACCTCCTGCAGGTGCTTGTTCAGGGCCCAGACGAGATCTGAGGGCACTCTGAGCCAAGAATTTGGCTTCTCTGCTTGTCCAAATCCCAGAAGGGTTTGAGTTGGAAGGACCTCAAAGCCCATCCAGTGCCACGGGCAGGGACACCTCCCACGATCCCAGGGTGCTCCAACCTGGCCTGGGACACTCCCAGGGATAGGGCAGCCACAGCTTCTCTGGGAATTCCATCCCAGTCCTTCCCCACCCTCCCAGGGAAGAATTCCTTCCCAATATCCCACCTAAATTTCCCCTCTTTCAGTTTGAAGCCATTCCCCCTTGTCCTGGCACTCCAGGCCCTTGTAAATAGTCTCTCCCTGCGGATAATGGGAGTTGTCTCTGCTAAGTTACTGAATTCAAGCCCCTCCAGGAGAGCTAAAGAAATAAACCTCCCCTGGAGCCACCCTAAGGCCCAGAAAAGGACTCAAAGCAGAGAAGTGATGGAGAGCAGGTGATTAAATTGATGTGTTCCCCCCAGGGCTGTTGGGATCCATGTGTGGCCTCAAAGTTTGTCATTATTTAACATCTTGCTAAAATCGAGTGAGTTTAGAACAAACCAGCGTTGTGGTGGGGTTTGTAAAACAAACCAGCACACACCTCACCTGAAAATGAGTAGGAGTGGGGTTCTAAATTAATTGGTAAATCCTATTAAAATGATCTGTCTTTAAATGCTGAGATGACTTTCTAAACTGTGTCCTTACTAAAACAGATGCTGGGATATTAATGTAATAAAATCTCCTAAATTTCAGCCTGGAGACAAAACAAGAAAAGAAAAAAAAAAAAAAAAGAAAAAGAAAAAGGCTCAGGAACAGCTAATACAATATTCAATATTGATCTTTGTGTTTGAGTATCCCAAGGCTTTCCAGGATATCTGGAGCCTTCAGCACTCACTGTGATTAAGAGGAATTGGCCTCCCAGCAGCTCCGAAAGCTCCGCTGTAGCTCAGGCTGGACATGCACTACCCTGACTCCTGCACACAGAAACATCTGTAATGTGTCCCAAAACCAGCTCAGCCCTGTAGTTTGACCCTGAAACAGGAAAAAAAAACCCCTTATTGCCACAGTTTTGTTTGACTCAGCAGAGCCTCAAACCCTCTCAGAGCCCAGAGCTCCTCACCCTCCTGGTGGGGATGGGGCCCTTCCCGTCCTGCACTCGTGCCCTGCCTCCAGGAGCCCTTGGTTCCAGAGGCCAGATGGCTCCTGCCAGTGGCCACTGTGCCCTTCCTGGGGGATAACTGGGATAAGCAGGGTGGATTTTTTCAGTTTCACCTCATTTACAGACACAGCTCCGGGTGTCGCAGCGGCCGAGGGTCAACACCGAGAGGTTGGTTCTGAGCTGGAAGGGAGGCTCTGCCAAGGATTTTTTTTTGCTGGTGGATGAGGGGAGGAGTTGGGGGTGATTCTGGTTCTGGGACTCAGGTCAGGGGCTTTAGGAGGTGCAAAGAATGGATATTTCCTGGCACAGCCTGCGGCTCTGCAGGTGAAGGTGAGGGAAGCCTGCAAAGCCTCCGTGTCCTACTCGAGGGGACAACTTTGCCTTCTGATTTATTTTAATTTCGAGACCCACCCAGAAATTCTCATAAACCAAACCCACAGTAACTTACACAACAGCAGGAAAATACAAATGCACTTGCACAAACTTCAGCACTGAAGTGGCTCAGGAATCAAATGCCACCTGAAGTCAAGCGCTGAGGATTAAAGGATGTTTCCATGTTATGCAAAGATCTTCTCTTTATCCTGTGTTACTTAAGGCTGTGCAGTCTTCCCAAATCATGCTCAGAAACAGAACCCCCTCCCCTGTGATTTTTCCAAAGCATTTAGTGTTTCCAGGTGCCCAGCACGACGTACTCCAATTAATCCTGATTTTCAGGGCCCTCGAAGCGCCTGCCTCTCGTGATCAGTCCCTTTCAAAGTGTCTCAAACACACATAAGGCATCCAAAATTGCTGACTTCTGAGAATCCAGAGCCATAATGAACAGTCCCTCTCCAAGATTCCAGCCTAGGTGAAAATGGCATGGATTCAAGCCCCCCCAAAATGAGGAGGGATAGTCAGTCCCTGCTCCCGTAGGATGACAATGCACCCAGCCATTAGAGCAGAGTTTCTCTTAAAAAGGAGGAGAAAATTGCACCATTCCCAGCAAGAACAAGTGCAAGTCTTTCCAGTTCAGCTCACAAAATTATTCATGCTGTGACTCCTAAGTCAGGCACCTCAGACCTCTTGGCTGGAAAGAGGGACATTGTGTTCCCCTTTCCCAGGGTACCAGAAGACCAAAGTCAGTGATACCTGTAAAGCTCTGAAGATCCCAGAGCAAATGGAACCAGCGAACAGAAAAAGGTGATTATCCTGCCAGGCTTGGCCTGGGAGGAAGATTATCCATCTATCTTGCCAGACCTATTTATCATCTTATTTTCTCCTGGCTTAGCTTTTATCACCTTTCTAATCCTCCCCATCTAATTCAGACAACATTTTATTTTAGCACTTCTCAGCACACGCTGACAAAGGTGTGTTTGGAGCTCTGGGCAGGTTTTTTGTGACCCCTCGAGGGGCTGCCAAGGTGGGTGGAACAATAGTTGCCAGCTAATGAGTTCACAACTTTGAAAAATAAATTAGCTGATTTTTTTTTTTTTTTTCTCCCTAGAAGAGAGGCATTATGTTTTTCTGCTGGTCTGTCAGTGAGGGAATGGATTTGGAAGAACTCCTTTTCCTGGTTTTCAACAGGATGGAGTTGTCCTGTGTAACATACCCTGATCTAAATGTATATCTATTTATCTACCTACCTATCTATGTTGTACTCCCTGTGACGTGTGTGCTTGACACACACAGAATGTGTATTTAAGTGGATGTGATGTCTGAAATAGGTTTCTGGGATGGGAAGTGCTGGGATGCACCCCTTGAAGTCAAGCAGGACTCGAAGATGAATTGCAGGTTGACGGTGTTTCTCAGGGACTGCTCACGATTTGGCCGAACCAAACAATGAAGTTCCAGTGCTTCCAGTCCCTCACGGGGTTCAACAACCAAACCCCAACCAGCCCCCTGCATTTTCCTTTCTCCATCCATAATCAAACGGCATTTTCCCCCCTCCCCACCCTCTTTGCTAGTGAATAAATCAGGGGCTAAACTTTTATCATCTGCGGAGCTGTTTCCCGGAATAGCTGCAAGCGGAGCGCTCGGTGAGGGCCAGCCAGGAGCCTGGGAGAGATGATTACCTTCAGGCAGTCTCCATGGAACATCCCAGGGTTCCTACAGGCACAGCCTAATGCGGGACTTAGGATGCTGAACAGACTCCCATTACAGGGCCGGCCATCTCGGCTCCTCGTTAACATGCACACCGGCGGCTCCGGAGCGCGGCGGCGCGGTCGGGGCTCATTAGGGGCAGAATCATTCCAGGGGACGTCGTTTCAGAGAGAGGAAAGAATTTCATGTCTCTCCAGCTTGGGGAGTGAGTGGCACAGAGAGCCCCGAGGTTTCGCTCGGGAGCTGCCGCAGACGGAGCCGTGGTTGGGGTTACCCCGAGATGCACCCGCAGCACCCGCCCCGCTGGGGGCCCTGCTCTCATGAGGGACGTGTTTTAAAATTGATCTGTGGCAAAGGGGTGAATTGAAAGCCTCTGGGAACAGCAGCAGAGCGGGGAATTGCTCAGGTTTGTGCCACAGAGCCCGCACTGCTGATGGAGGGTCCCTGCCCACGCCAGCGGTGGCAGAGCGGCTGGGCTGGATCTGCTCACACTCCCCCCTTGCCCCAGCCCTGCAAAGCTTTTGAGACCACGAAGGGCTGCTGTGACGAGAAGATCTCAGTCCACTTTAATCAGCAGGTGTTAAAAACCCCAAAGAATTATCATTAATAGATACAAATGAGTCGCTGCACAGCTCAAGTGTCAACTTTCTCTTATTGTTTACCAGGGGCTGGAACACACAAGATGTCTAATTAGTAATACACTGCAAAAAAACCACCGTATTGGTGGGTCTAAGAGGGGAAGGACTAAAAAGCAACGAGGATGAAGCTATCAGTCATCACAGTTTGATTTCTTGTCCTGCATGAAGTGTTCTGGTGGCTCTCATCTCCCACATGTGCCACCAACCACTCCTCAGGAATGACTCTGATGCCTGTTCATTCAAAGCTCGGCTCTATTTTAAAAATCTACTCTCTCTGAAAGGGCTGTCTTTAAAAAAAAACACCCAAAAAATGGTACAGGAAAAGGGACAAAATTGCTCCTCAACAAAGGGGCCTATCAACAGCCTGTCAATAATGTGCCAAAGGCCAGAACCTGCCTTTCAAAGAGGCTCTGAAGCCTCGACGTGTACTTTGAGAGCAATTAAGGGACGTGAGCAACATGATTATTATCTCATGGGTGACATTTTCATCGGCTCTTTGGGAAAAGGGAGAGATGGGCTTGAGATGGCTGTGATCAATGTTCATCCCAGTGCCACAGAAACGGCAGGAGAACACAGGGGAGATGGGCCTGGGAAGCAAAATGCACAAGGGAAGGAAGGGGGGAGGAAGAGGTGAGGGAGAGAGGAGGATTTTAAATCTTGGAAGCTGAAAGAATGAGTTACATGAGGAGGAGATGGAGAGCACCTGAGAAATGAGAGTGGGAATGTCAGGAGGGCTGGAGAAGGCAGGAATAGGAGAGGAAAGGATTGGGGTAAGTACATGAAGAAGAGGGGGAGGATTCCCTGAGAGAGGAGAAAGCCCAGAGAAAAGAGTTACAAACCCAAGGAGAAGTCCTTCATGGGCACATCACTGTGCCTCTTCCTTTTCCCACCCCAGTCCCTGTGTCATCCACCACCTCCTCATTTGGGGGGGTCACAGCTGCACCCAGAGCCCAGGGAAGGAGGGACAGAACACGATCAGGGATGGAGGATGTCTTAGGGCTGATATCTTAAGTGCCCTTAGGATCACTCCGCTCCTTCCGCAGCATCTTGTATATTCATTAGGGTTGGAAAAGGTCTCTAAGCTCACCGAGTCCAACCATTAACCATTCCATCAGTGCTGCCCATCCATCCTTCCTCTCCCTCTGCTGTCTTTGTGCTGCAGGTGCCAACAAAACCCCGGGGCAGACGGGACAGCGAGCGGTACCAGAGGGACACGCGTGGCCCTCGGGAGCAGGGACAGCACTGCGGGTAAGACCCTCAACCCCAGCTTGGGGCTCAACTCTCGGGATAACGCCCGAGGGGTGGGGGGAGCCTGGGCACTGAGCCAGGAATACCAGCTGGATCAGAGCATGGATGCAGAGGAGCTCAGCCCCCACTATCCGAGGTGGGCAGAGCCACCCTTGGCCACGGGCTGTGCAGAAGCCAAGCAGATGTTGCACGTGCCCAGCTGTTCTGGGGCCGGGCAAAAAGGAAAACACATCTGCAAAAAAAAAAAAACGCAGATTTGCCGACAATTTGCTGAATTTCCCCCCAATTTGCCGAATTGCTGGTTAAGGGAAACAAACTTGATTTTTGCTTAATTTGCTCTAAAACAAACTCCTTCCTGCGTTTCGTTTTTATGGAAAAATTAGAAATGTTAATGTTGAGCAAAAGAAATTTTTTTTTTTTTTAATATTTGGAGACTTTCTCCGTCCCAAAAGATCCTGTTATATTCCCAGCTCCTCCCTGCATGTATCTAAATTTCTGTGTGCATCTCCACAAGTTCCACACTCACATCCTGGGCAAAGAGTTCCAAGCAGCTCCAACACACATCAGCCGCTCTGAGTTCTGCAGGATTAGCCCCTTGAAGAGGATCTTAATAATCAAAATGATGTGATGTTACCAGTTAAACATGGGGAATAATTCCTCCACCACAGGCAAGCTGTGCTGAGGTCGGGGATGGACTGGCAAGAGGAATCCCCAGGGCCCCAGCAGGATGCATTAACAGTGTGTCTCTCTGGTGAGCCGTGATGGGAAGAGCACGGAGCAAAAAAAAAAAAAAAAAAAAAAAAGAAGGTAAAGTGGTTAAAAACAACTTGTATTTTCAGAGCCCAGTCTCCCACAGAAATCTTGGGAGATGCTGAGCTCTCCACTTCTTGACTTGCAAGCAGAAATAATGCTTTAGAAGCCCAGCTGAGACTCCTGGGTTTTAAATTTTCTACAATATTTTCCTCCAGCCCCATTTGCCGTCCTGCTAATTAATCCAGCTAATGGCTGGGTGTTTTTTTTTTTAACTTCAGCAGCAGTTTCTCTTTTTGTTAACACAAGCAGAGAGAACACGAAGCACAGATCTCTCGAAGGATCCAGGCTGACAGCAATATTGCCATCTGACTGAAGAGAACTCAGACACACATAATCCTCGGGAAAATTCATCTCCACCCTCCCGCAGACCCCGGTGAGAGCCCTTGAAGTGGTAATTAAAGTCTATTGAGTGGCAACTGCACCTGTTTAGAGAGGAGAGCGCGGGTAAGAGGAGCACAAAGGGAGATGAGCAGCACGGGGAGAGGAGCTGCTGGAGCTGGGGAGGAAGGGAGGTGGAAAGAAGGGAGGGGGGGGAAAAAAAAAGTGTTTGTTGTTTTTTTGAAGTCAATCCAAGCCGATGCGCATTTCCACCCTGCCCTTGATTTGCTCCCTGTGCCCCCCTCAGCTCTCACCAGGCTCCCTCCCCACTCTCACGCCCGCTGATGGAAACTCCAGGGGGTTTTCCCCACCAGCCCCAGCTCTCGTGGTGTGAATCAGCAGAGTTCCACCAAAGTCCCTGAGGACTCGGAGCAGCCCCAGCTCATTCACACCAGTGGCTGCAGACCCATCCCAGGGATGCTCATTAGCAGCCCCCCTGGCTCCTCGGGGGGGGGGGGGGGCACAGGGATGTGCCAGCGCTTGTCCCTCTGCCCTGGGAGAGAGCACATCCCCCTGGGACAGCCCCAGCCCCCACTGCAAACCCTGCAGCATCCAGGGCAGGGAAGCAGAGGTGTTTCTGGATTTGTGGCTGAGAGCAGAGGGAGGTGGAAGGGGCTGGAGTGGGGCAACGCCACGTTCCACAGCTGCTGGGATTCTGACACACGTGGCTCCCAAACGTTCTGAGCCAGCGGCACCTCAGACGTCCCCAAGGTCTGCAGGGGAAGCAAAATGGATTTATTCATATGTTTTTGTTCATGGATTTTTACAAGGCCCTGGAGGGACAGGACAAGGGAAATGGCTTCCCACTGCCAGAGGGCAGGGTTAGATGGGATGTTGGGAAGGAATTCCTCCTGGGAGGGTGGGGAGGCCCTGGCACAGGTTGCCCAGAGAAGCTGTGGCTGCCCCATCCCTGGAAGTGTCCAAGGCCAGGCTGGAGCACCCTGGGCTAGTGGAAGGTGTCCCTGCCATGGCAGGGGGTGGCACTGGATGATCTCTAAGTTCCCTCCCAACCCAAACCACTCTGGGGTTCCATGATAAGCAATACTGGTAGCTGTGGATTTTTCCATGCCCTTGCAGACCCCACTGACCCAAGGACCATCCCCACTGCTGTGGCCAGTGAGGTGACACTTTACAGCTTGTCCCTTGTCACTGCAATTCCATGTGTGCCTCAGCAGTCAGCTGGGCTAAACCAGGATTCCTGGGGTGGGAGCAGGAGAGGAATGAGGTTCATCCCAAGAGCACCCCAAGGCTGAGCTGAGCAAACGAGTCAGGCAGAAGAATTCGACCGGTGTTGGTAAATGTTTCTCTCTCACTGGATTCGGTGGCAGGCGGTCCCCTGTGAGTCCCTGACCTTCACACTCCACAGGCTGCCTGGGATGGCTGACAGAAACCACAGGAGCTTTTTCCCTGTTCCTGATTGTCAGGGCACACAACAACCCAGGTGTGAATGCTGTTGCATCTGCTTTGGACAAATCCTGTCAGCAGCACCTCTGGAGCCTGTGCTGCCTGAGGCTGTGCCAGGACATGTCTCTGTGTGAAAGGAGATGGAGAGGGACACACCCAGAGAATCACAGAACCCCGGGATGGTTTGGTTTGGAAAGGACCTTAAAGCTCCTCTCATTTCACCTCCCTGGACACACTTCCACCTTCCACTAGACCAGGTTGCTCCAAGTCCAACCTGGCCCTGAAAAAGTCGATTCTTTTGGCTGTTCCAGGTGAGATTTGCAATTAGTTGGGTGTCTGATCCAACCATTTGGCTACAATTTATGAAGACTGACAAACATCCCTGGACAGCAGGTCAACCTGCCAGTCCTTAGGGTGAGAGGAATATTTGTGCTGACTGCAGAGGGAGCCTGCATGACTCACTTCACACTAAAAGCCCACCTGCCAAAGGATCACCCCTAAAATACCCTCCTTGCCTCCTAAATCCTAGCCTTGTGCATTAACCACTCATTGGGTAGGTGGGTGCCATGTGATATCTTGACACATTTCTACCCTTTCACTCCCAAACACTCCTCTCTCATTTTTCCCCTCACAGCTCTCCCGTCCCTCTGCCTTTCTCCCTCTCCACCTTCCCTCTGATTGCTGAGCAGCTTTTTGACTTTTCCATCAATAAGTCTAAAGAGCATTTGAAGCGCTCTGGTCCCCCCTTTTCTCCTCCCTCCAGTTCCAAGTCAGGCGAGCTCATCGATCAGAGGAGCTCAGGAAATATCTGGTGTTTTGTTGTCAGGCTGATAATAACATTGCAGTTGTGAATGGGCTGCTGCAGGCCTGATCATGGACACCTGCAGGGTTTGTTTAATTGCATTTAATGACAAATCCTATACAGAGGAGCATTGCCAGAGAGATTTATTATCCACCAAAGAGGCAAAGCACAACAGCTCAAAATATAATTTGCACTGAGCCTTTTTCCCCCTGCCTCTCTTTAAAGCAGTGTAATAAATGGCAAATCGGGTAAAGTGGGCACCACGGGTCTGGGGAGGAGGTGGGGGCAGAGGACGGAGATTGAAACCAAAGGAAATAACAGCAATAAGGCCACATTGTTCTCTCTGCCATCCCTGTGGTCTGGGCCAGAGGAAATACTGTTTGTTTAATTTACAGCCTGGCAGTGCAGCTGGGGATCTCTCGGTGATGAGCCTGTTCTGACACAGCTGGGGGCCCACAGTCCCCACTCCTCCTCTAACCAGGCTTTTTTCCCCTCCCGTGTTCTGCAGTCTAAGTTTAGCTCCCAGCCATACAAACAATTAGCAAGGAGCTCCAGCAGCCTGCCAGCTGCCACTGGCACGAGGAGCCACGAGCTTCCACGGCCCTGAGATCTCTGGGACAAAGCAGTGGTGTCCTGAAAAATATCACACTGAGAAATACGGCCCCACGGAGACAGATCCCACGAGCTGGAGTCTAGACAAAAGTCTTGCACGACTCTGAGCCTGGAATTTATGTTTCCTGCTAAATAGCCTGCTCTGAAGAGGGAATGGCTGTGTGTAAAAGCAGCAGAAGAGCTCAGGCCTTGCTCGTACTTCTTTTGTCTTGATTTTTATGTGATTTTCTAGCAATGATTCATGGTAAATCCCTACCTGGAGCTGGTGTGTCACCGTGCCAGGCAGTGTCATTCCAGAACAAGGACTGAAAAGTGTCCTTGTCACCTGAAATTACAGTCCAGGTTAGCACTTCCCAACCTGTCTCCTCTCTCAAGTTCATCCATCTGTACAATTCCTCCTCTCTTCTAATTATCGTGGGCAGAAGAGTGAATTGTCCTGAATTTTTATTTCTAAATTGTCTCACTCCCTAAACGTTTTCATTAGAGACCTCTCTGTGGGAGGGCAGAGAGGAAAATACAGGATGGTTTCTTCAGTTTAGGACATCCACGGCCAGGCAGGTGTCAGAGTGACCTTAAATTCAGTGTGAGGCTCAGCGCTGTTCCACCTGACAGTCAGCTCAGGATCACAGAACATCCTGAGTTGGAAGGGACCCACAAGGATCATCCAAGTCCAACTCCTGGTTAAATTTTTTCCCTTTCAGTGGTGCACCCAGGGCAGTTTGGGGGTGACACCCCCCCTCTGCAGTGCTGCTCCGTGGCTCAGTGCAGGCAGCAGTTGGCACTGTCCTTACACAAACACGGTGTTGGGTAACACCTGGCCCCGGTTTTATCTGATTTCCTGGACAATGGTGGTATCACTAAATGCTCCCTGTTAAATAAGACCACCTGGACATCTCCTGGTATCAGCTCCAGCTATCACAAACACTCTGGCTACCTAGGCCAGCACAAAGGACTCTTATCTCCAGAGCAGCACAAATCCCCTGACTGAAACAACCCATCTGGAGTTTGATTAAAGTGTCTATAGAAAGCACATATGTTAAAAAAAAAGGGAGGGAGGAAGGGAGGGATGGGGCTGCTCCCCCTGAGCTCACACAGTGCACAACCCCTGTCAGCAGCAGCAGCAGCAAACCCTCTCCTGTTGCTCCACACTTTCTCCTCCCATGAAAGGAGCAGCAGATCCTGAGGAATAGTTTTTGTTTCTTTCCTTTTTTTTTTTTTTTTTTAATTTTTATTGCCATCTGCTTACAACAGCACATCTAACAGGCTCGGTGAAGATGGGAAGGATGCTGTTCCCTGCCTGGTTTCAGTGGCTGAGGTAAGTAAGCCTCACTCAGACGGGGGAATAAAGTCAGATCCTTTCCATGGATGTGAGCCAGCATTGTCCTTTCACACCTTATCCGTGCCATATGTGAGGTATTAACAGAGAAAAGCTGGGGAGTGGAAGCAAAGCTGGACCTGGGGTGAACTAAAGACTGCTCATCAACAAATCCAGAGAAAGGAAACAGCAAAAAGGGTTTGTTTTTCTTGCTTAAATCAGCCTCTCAGTGGGATTCCAGGAAACTCAGCACCATCATTATCTTTTTCTTTGCTGAGTCCTTCTCTCCAGCATTCCCCCAGTATACACTGCATTTGCTTATTTTAGTCAGACTGAAATCTAACTGGGAGACAGACAGGTTGACAGAGCACTCCTGGAGAAGTTTATCACAGGGTAAGGAAAGAGGAGCCCCTGCTGAGCCCTGATGTCCCTGTAGAGTCTCCGGGAGTGAGAAAATGGAGCAGAAACTCACGGGAACAGCCACAAATTGGAGAGATGATTGCAGGGAGGTCTGACACAGTCTCATGAGGAACTCTGCGAAGAGCAGCATCCATCCCTGGAAGGAGAGACAAGACCAAGAATTAAGGATGAGAAAACCGAGGAAGGACAGCAGGAGAAGACGAGCGGGAGGACGTCCCTGAGGAGGCAGCGCTGCTCTCCTGGCCTGGCTCTGTGTGGAAGACTAGTGATTTTGTTGTTGTGTTTATAAAGGTGACAACAAATCATAGCCTGCCATACAGCCCAGGCTGCCACGGCCCCAGAGACCCCGAGAGCCCTGGAGCTGAGAGATGGCCATGGCTGGAAGTGCTTTGGAGGTCACGTCGTGCCTTGTTCTGCTCCCCTGGGCTCTGAGAGAAGCAAAGGGAGGCACATCCGAGGAAATCCAACTCATCCTGGGGCTCATCCTGCAGCTGGCACTCCCCTGCCTCCCTTCAACACAGCTTCTCGTGGAGATCAGCTGTCAGGAAGGGAATTGTCTCCCTCAAAGCCCCCCCAGACACAGCAGGGCAGGGGCAGGGCCCTGCTGGGCACTCGGGCACCGCTGGCACCTCCATGCCTGGCAGGGGTTGTTTGGAGAGTGGAGCCCTTTGCTTCCAACAGGGCTTTAAAATATAAAAAGAACACATTTTCAACACCACTCAGAGCCTCTATTCTCGAAGGTACCCAGGTGTGAAAATGAAACTCCTGAATCCTGCCGAGGCCAGTGGTAAAAGTGCTGAAATGTCTTCAATAATTTGAGTTGTTGGTGCTGTTGAACACTTTCTTTTTCTCTTTCTTTTTTTGAACCAACCCAGGATATGTTCAGCACTGCCCACATCATTGGTACTATGGAATATATGATTTAGGAATCATACAATCCCAGAATGGTTTGGGTTGGGAGAGACCTTAAAGATGATCCAGTCCCACCCCGTGCCATGGGCAGGGACACCTTCCACTATCCCAGGTTGCTCCAAGCCTGGCCTTGGACACTTCCAGGGATGGGGCAGCCACAAATCTATTGCCGAAAGAATTTTAAACCAGCACAAATCACTGTGCTTTGACGGTGCCTGAAAGAAAAGATCCACATTGCACAAGCCAGAGCAACTCACTCTCCCCCTCCCTTTTACTCCCCCACTGACAGATTAAATCCACACAAAATTCCGAGGGCAGCGGTGCAGCCATTAATGCTGGAATGGTTGGGCTGGTGTCTGATGTAAATGAAACTCCACTGATTTAGTGTTCCCCAACAAGCCTGTCTGGCGTGTTCATCCTCTGCAGTCTGATCAAAATCCTCCCTTCCAGGTAGCCGTGGCCTCGTGCCCCACATAACCACAGCAAATAATGTCATCACAGCCCTAATGGGGAAGGCAGTTATAGGACAAAAGCCCCTGCAGCAAGTTGGGGATTGGGTCATCGTTCCTCTTAATGTCACGGTGCCATTTCTCCCTATTTTTAGAATTGTTCCCTTTGTACAGCAAATTGCTCAGTTGGAGAGAAAAATCTCATCTTCATTGGCTCTGGTAGCGAGGGACCATCTTCCCCCAGCTTCTGGAAATCACCCAGGCCCCTAAAAGCTGAAGAGGTGGATAAAACCCGAGTACACAGCTGCCTGCAAACCTCACTTTAGACTGAAAGAACCCAAGGAGCTGCTGCAGCCACAGACTGAGCACAGAGACCTCACAAGAAATCTTGCAGGTGTCTAAATTACCCACTCCCCCTTTCAGAAGTAGCTCAGGGATTCAGTAAATCGGCCTGGCCTCTGTTCCTAAATTATTCCGGTGCTTTTGGAACTCTAAGCACAGTTCTAAACTCCTCCACGTTTTGAGGGGAAGAGATGGGGAACAATGGATTAGGAGTTATTGTGTGAGAACGTTCCCAATGATAAATCCCAGCCCTTTATTATTATCCAGGCTGCATTTTGTGGTGTCCCAGACTCCTCAGCACGAATTGAAGCTCTTTGGCTTCCCTTGCCCTCGAAGAAGAGAAAACACCAGCTGTAAATTCTGAGTCTGCAGCCTAAATAAGCCAGCCAGAGCAAGAACAGTTATTATTGCCATGTTATTGGCAGGGAATTGAGACACAGGAAGATTAAGTGGCTGGCCCAAGGTCACCAAAGGAGCCTCTAGCAAAGGTGAGGGCTCAGCCTGGATTTCAGAAGTCTCTGCCCAGTACTTCAGCCATCCATTCACTTGCTTCTTAAGTACCCTGTCATTATTTCCGTGAGGAAAATTATGCTACTCCTGGAGCAGCCAGCACCGTGTAATTCAGCTTGTCTGAAAGGGAATATGAAATGGCAGCTTCAAAAAAAATTAACCCTCCTGCCACACAGTGTGGCAGCCCTGTCAAAACGGCTTGTTTTTTTTTACCTGCTCTTCCTCCCCTGGGTGTTTAACTTCCCTCTCTGTTCCCAGAACTCTGGCTGGGGCTGTGTGTGTGTTACCCCACAAACCCTTTTGGGGTCCCTGGGGGGACTGTGGGCTGGACAGGAGGGATGTGGTGGCTTTGGGACACTCTCAGGTGGGTGTTGTTGTTCTTCCCTTACTCCCAGTTGTTGTGTCAGTGGAAGTGGGAGCTGCAACCACTGATGCTGATCTGGATCAGGAGACATCTGGTTTAGGAGCTTCGGGACACAGGCTGGGAGAGCTGGGGGGGTTCACCTGGAGAAGGGGAAGGATCCAGGGAGACCTGAGAGCCTCTCCCAGGGCCTGAAGGGGCTCCAGGAGAGCTGGAGAGGGACTGGGGACAAGGGATGGAGGGACAGGACACAGGGAATGGCTTCAAAGTGCCAGAGGGCAGGGTTAGATGGGATATTGGGAAGGAATTCCTGGCTGTGAGGGTGGGCAGGCCCTGGCACGGGTTGCCCAGAGAAGCTGTGGCTGCCCCATCCCTGGGAGTGTCCAAGGCCAGGTTGGAGCAACCTGGGCTGGTGGAAGGTGTCCCTGCCTGTGGCAGGGGATGGAACTGGATGGGCTTTAAGGCCCTTCCAATGCAATCCATTCTGTGATTCCATGATTCCGGTTCTGTGTGATGTCTCCATCCCCCTGGTGCCCTGGTTTGGGACACTCTCGGTGCTGACCTTGCCAAGAGAAGCCAAAGGGCACAGGAGAACCAAAGTGACAAAGTGACTCTGGTTTCTGCCACAGCCAAAATCCTGCCCCAGACCTTCGAGGGTGATGCAGGTGCAGCCCATCCATCCCCACCTCCAGCTCTCTTTGACTCCCCAGACAGAGTCATCCAGGTACCCCTGGGCTGGGAGCAAGGACCTGAGGCTCCAGTACATTCCATATTCACAGATCTGCAGGGAGAGGCTGTTGTGACCCTTCTCCTCAGGCTCTTTATTCCCTCATTACTAAGCAATTTATTGATGGAAAAAAAAAAAAAAAAAACATTTCCATCAGCTGCACTTTAAAGCCACGATGTCTCTGAGCCCACCCCAGAACGAGGGGCAGGTTCTGAGGTAGATTTGGGACCTAAAAAGCCTTTGTGGTGGTTCAGGTGAATCCCTAATGGATTCTGTGGAGGGGAAATTAATAGGAAGCTTTGGTTAATAGATACTTCAGATAAAAGAGCGAGTGCATCTGGTCACCATGGCAACACGAGGAGCCAGCGGGGAGAGGAAATGTCACCGTGTCTGTGCCTTGACCTGCAGCACAAACAGCCTCAAACCTGGGGGGGGGTTTGCACATGGATGTTCCCAGTGGGGACAGGGGGACAGCTTGGATATTCCCACCCAGGGAGCTGCTGCACACAGACACACCCCAAGCTTCTCATGGCAGTGCAAAATGGACCCAGTGTGCCCAAACCAGCTGCTGGCAGCTGTTTAGGTGTGAAAGCACAATTAATTTGTGCCCAGAGTTGTGTATTCGCACCCCAGGGGGACAGGGAACAATCCCAGGTATTCCAGCACACACAGAGGAGCAGCTGAGGGAGCTGGGGGGGCTCAGCCTGGAGAAAAGGAGGCTCAGGAGGGACCTTCTGGCTCTGCAACTCCCTGACAGGAGGAGGGTGTCAGGGCGAGGTCAGGCTCTGCTCCCAGGGAACAAGGGACAGGAGGAGAGGGAATGGCCTCAAGTTGTGCCAGGGGAGGTTTAGGTTGGATATTGGAAAAATTTCTTCACTGAATGGGTTGTTAAGCTCTTGAAGGGGCTGCCCAGGGCAGTGGTGGAGTCAGCATCCCTGGAGGGACTTAAAAGCTGTGTGGATGTGACACTTGGGGATGTGGGTTAGTGGTGGGCTTGGCGGTGCTGGGGGAATGGTTGGATTTGACCCTGGAAGGCTTTTCCAACTTAAATGATTCCATGATTCCTCCCGTCCTGATGTGCAGGAAGCTGCCCTTGCACAGCACAGACACACTGGAGGAGCTCAAAGAGACCTTTGCTCCTTTTCTTCTCAAACACAAAGTCACCGAATCACAGAATCATGGAATGGTTTGGTTTGGTTTGGATTTGGTTTGGAAAGGACCTTAAAGCTCATCCAGTCCCGACCCCTGCCATGGGCAGGGACACCTCCCACTATCCCAGGTTGCTCCAACCTGGCCTTGGACACTCCCAGGGATGGGGCAGCCACAGCTTCTCTGCCCAACCTGTGCCAGGGGATGCCCACCCTCCCAGGGAGGAATCCCTGAGCACACTCAGACCTCGTGTCGTGTGGGAATTCTGCCACGGACACTCCGGCTCTGGCTTCCAGAGGCACCTGCTGCTCCCGGTGACTTCTCAGCAGCTGCTGAAGTGAGGGCTGGGCTCGCACTGCCTGTTATGCAGAAGCAGTTTCTTAGCAACAAAAGTGATATTCGGCGTGAAGGCAACAGGCATTAGCGGGATAATCCACAGTAATTCCAGACAAGACCTAAAACGGGTGTATGGACTGAATAATAATCATGACAGACAGAATAATAATAATGGAAATAATGAGACTAATCTTGTTTTTCCCGGAAAGGAGAAAAAACAGCTATAAATAAAACACAGCGGGAGAAACCCCATGCCAGTTCCCTGTATGAAGATTAGAGACACTTAAACTCAACTTATGCCCTAAAAATAGGTTGTGGTGAGTAAAGCTTTGCTCATCTAAGCTGGGCTATTTATTGCTCGAGTGTTTTCCCTCGCTCCAGGCAGGTATTGTCACTCAGGGACAGAGGGAGCTGGACACAACGTCCTGTGGAGAGGATTGGAGGGAACAAATCTGTGTTTGCTGTTGGAGACCAAGGCTTTGCCTCCTACAAGGCAGAAAGTTTGCACCTTAAAGCGCTCCATCAGATCTGTCGCACTGGACGATACCTGAGGGTTCTGTTCCAGCTCAGGATATTCTGATCCCACGGCACACCGATGAGTCAGACTAACGCTGTGTGAGCCGCTGTGTCTTGAAGTTCAGCAACATCAGGGAATTCGATATAAATAAAACCGGCACTAAACGCACACACGCTACTATAAACACACTTGGACGACACTGGCTCCTCACGGGTCAGCCCGCGCGGCGCTCGCTGGGAAATGTAGTCCAAGCTCCGGCCCAGCCCCGTTGATGGCCCTGGCAGCTCTGGGGAGGCAGGACTACAATTCCCAGTGTGCCCCGCGCTGCCGGGATACCCTCCCTGCCCACTCCTCCCCTCCCGCGCTGCCTGCTGGGAAGCCGAGTGCAGGCGGCGCGGGGCCGTAGGGGTTGCACGGCTCTCGGGACTACAGTTCCCATCATCCCCCTCGCTGCGCGCCCCGCCCCGCTCGGCGCCATTTTGTTCCTTGGCGCAGCCTGAGATGGCGGCCGGGCCCGGGCGGTGAAGGTCCCGCCGAGCTGAGGGCAGGGGGGTCCCGTCGCCCCCCGCCCGCCCCGCGCCGCGCTGGGGCCGCGCCGGAGCCGCCGGTCCATGGCCAGGACGCGGCCCCCGGCGCCATGGACCTCCGCACGGCCGTCTACAACGCGGCCCGCGACGGGAAGCTGAAGCTGCTGCAGAAGCTCCTGGGCAGCCGCAGCCGTGAGGAGCTGGAGGCGCTGACGGCGGGGCCCGGCGGCGGTGGCGGGCCCGGGGCGGGCAGCACCCCGCTGCTGATCGCGGCGCGGCACGGGCACCTGGAGGTGGTGGAGTACCTGCTGGATCACTGCGGGGCCCGGGTGGAGGAGGGCGGCTCCGTCAGCTTCGACGGCGAGACCATCGAGGGGGCCCCGCCGCTGTGGGCGGCCTCGGCCGCCGGGCACCTGGGGGTGGTGCGGAGCCTCCTGGACCACGGGGCCTCGGTGAACCAGACCACCCTGACTAACTCCACCCCGCTGCGGGCCGCCTGCTTCGATGGGCACCTGGAGATCGTGCGGTACCTGGTGGGCGAGCGCGGGGCCGACCTGGAGGTGGCCAACCGGCACGGACACACGTGCTTGATGATTTCGTGCTACAAGGGGCACCGGGAGATCGCCCGCTACTTGCTGGAGAAAGGGGCCGACGTGAACCGGCGCAGCGTGAAGGGGAACACGGCCCTGCACGACTGCGCCGAGTCCGGCAGCCTGGAGATCCTGCAGCTCCTGCTCCGCTCCAAAGCCCGCATGGAGAAGGACGGCTACGGAATGACCCCCCTGCTCGCCGCCAGCGTCACCGGCCACACCAACATCGTGGAGTACCTCATCCAGGGGGGGCTGCAGCAGGAGGAGGCCGCGGGGAGCGCGAGCGGGACCTGCGCCTCGGGTGGGAGCCATCAGAGGGGCTGCGGCCCCAGCAGGGAGACTCAGGGCTGCCAAGAAGAGGGGGGTGAGGGATGCGGCGCCTCAGCTTCCAGCCAGGACGAGGTCCCGACCGTGTTCTGCACTCGAGAGGCGGCTGTGGAAGCGCTGGAGCTGCTGGGTGCCACGTTTGTGGACAAGAAACGCGACCTCCTGGGGGCCCACAAGTACTGGCGGAGGGCGATGGAGCTGCGCTGCGAGGGCGGGAAGTACCTGCCCAAACCCGAGCCCCGGCAGCTGGTGCTGGCCTATGACTATTCCCGGGAGGTGAATTCTCTGGAGGAACTGGAGGCCCTGATCACAGATCCCGACGAGATGCGGATGCAGGCGCTGCTGATCCGGGAGCGCATCCTGGGCCCTTCCCACCCCGACACCTCCTACTACATCCGCTACCGCGGCGCCGTCTACGCCGACTCCGGCAACTTCGAGCGCTGCATCAACCTGTGGAAGTACGCCCTGGACATGCAGCAAGGCAACCTGGAGCCTCTCAGCCCCATGACTGCCAGCAGCTTCCTTTCCTTCGCCGAGCTTTACTCCTACGTGCTCCAGGACCGCTCCAAAGGCACTTTAGCCACCCACCTGGGCTTCTCCGACCTCATCGGGGTGCTGAGCAAAGGGGTGCGGGAGGTGGAGAGGGCCCTGGTGCACGGCAAGGACCCCGTGGCTGACTCGGTGCAGTTCACCAAGACGTTGGCCATCATCCTGCACCTGGTGTTCCTGCTGGAGAAGGTGGAGTGCACCCCGGAGCAGGAGCACCAGAAGCGCCAGACCATCTACCGCCTGCTCAAGTGCAGCCCCCGGGCCAAGAACGGCTTCACCCTCCTGCACATGGCCGTGGACAAGGACACCACGACGGTGGGGCGCTACCCCGTGGGCAAGTTCCCGTCGCTGCACGTGGTCAACTTGCTCCTGGAGTGCGGGGCCGACCCGGACAGCCGCGACTACGACAACAACACCCCCCTGCACGTGGCCGCCCGCAACAACTGCCCGCTCATCATGAGGGCCCTGATGGAGGCCGGGGCGCACATGGATGCCACCAACGCCTTCAAGCAGACGGCCTACGAGCTGCTGGACGAGAAGCTGCTCACCAAGAGCACGATGCAGCCCTTCAACTACATCACCCTCCAGTGCCTTGCTGCTCGAGCCCTGGACAAGCACAAGATTCCCTACAAGGGGTTCATCCCCGAGGAGCTGGAAGCCTTCATTGAGCTGCACTAGGGCACGAGAGTTGGTGTCCCCCCGGCCTGTCCCTCGCCTGTCCCACCCCATGGAGGTTGTGCAGCCGGAGGTCTCGGGCTGTCCTCGGCCAAGTGCTGAGCTTTGTCCCCATCTGCCACCGCAGAGCTGGCAAGGCAGGGCAGGGAGGAGGAGGCTCGAGAGCTCTCGGCTGTCCCTCGTTGTTGTCACCTTCAGGTACCAGCTCTCTCCAGTGCACTGTGTCCACAGAAGGCCACAGCCCCTGCCCTTTCCCGTCTTGTCCTGAGAAGGAAGGAGAACGGAGATTCCCTGGGACTTGCTGCCTCTCCCGTTAGTGCTGGATTAACTCAGCGTTCAGCTTTGGAGCAGCTACACAACCCCTCCCACGTGCTCTGGCCCTCCCCAGCCCACACATCCAACACGCAGAAAGCGAGTGAGGAATAAAATGCCTTCCAACTAATCCTTTCCCCTCCCTCTTGTCACGTTTGGGACAGCACAAGTCCAGCAGCTGAGGGGCTCGTGCTCTGCTGAGGGAGTTCCTTGCATGGCACAGGGCTGGGTGTGCTGAGGACAGGGTTTTTCTCTCTCTCGGTTGGCCAAAGGGTGTTTTAAGGCCTGAGATTTCCATGATTGTGCATAAAGCTGGGATGTTTCTTCTCTCGTAGAGCCAGGCCCTATCTATGCTGCAAGACTTCTCCAGTCCTGTAAGATAGAGGAAGGTCAGTCCTGGTTATGCAGTTTCACCCGTAGATGTCGGGGGTTTATGAACGGGGAGGAAAAGCTGCTTTAATGAACCCAAGTTGAAAAACGTGATGTTGGGGCCCTTGGCTTGCCCACTGCACACCTTTGTGCTCCATTCCCCGTGTGGAGGTGCTTTAGCTCCAGAGGTCAGCAGGGATCGAGCTGTGAGGGTGGACGTGGCCAGGTTTTGGAGCCAAAACAGCACAGGCTGAACCATTTTTTGAGGCTCAGCTCTTGCAAGCCCTGTAGGACGGGAGGTACCTGCAGTGTGTGGGGGTGTTTGCGGGGGGTTATTTAAGCAGGTGAGTGTTTGTGCCATGTTTGCACCAGCGTGGGCTGATGGAAGATGAAACATGAAAGTTTAAGGTACCTCCTTGTCCTCGGGAGGTTTTAGTGTCACCTCCATGGGCTGTGTTAATTATCCCATTAATTAAACCTCCATACAGTGGGTTCTGAGCAGCCGGTTTGGGCCTTCGATTCTTTTTTTTCTTTTTTTCTTTTTTTTTTTTCTTTTTTCTCTCAACTTTTCTGAGGATGGTGCTACTTCAAAGGTGGAGTTCGAAATCTCACCTGGCTGCTGTTTGGACAAGCTCCTTCCTTTAATTAGGATCTGCACACACCTTGGTTTTTTTAAGGCTTAGGGCAGGTTTTTTGCCTCCATGAGCAGAACCCTGTGTGGTGGAAAACAAAAGAGTTTCCAGCGGTTTATCCTTGTGCAGGGGGGTGACAGGACTTGGGCAGCCTGTGGCTCATTTCTTGGCCCTGAGCAGGGTGGGAAGCACAGTTTGGGGGAGGTGGGAGGGGGGGGGAAGCAGCTGCCTTGGAGCTTTGGGAAAGGTCCCACTTTTGGGAGAGCAGACCCCTGGCACCACCTGTGCTCAATGTGCTACTGAAGCTTCTCTACTTGTATTTATCAGCCTCAATAACCAACGCTCTCTGCCCCTTAAAGATATTGTAGATCTGCCATTACATTTTTGCAGTGTTAACTATAACATTTATTTATGAAGCAAGGAGGTTTAACTTGAATTGAGCTGTAAAGTGCAGAGTTAGTTTAGCTGCCTTCTATTTTTGTTGGATTTTTTTTTGTTGTTGTTTGTTTGTTTTATTTTTCCTTTTGGCTGAAACCTGACCTAAACTGCAGGAATGGGATTTGTTCCTTTGTGAGCTGATGAGCGCTCTTAACTTTAAATAATAAAACAAAAAATGGCTGCTAGAATGCAAGTGCCTTCCAGTGGACTTCTTCCTGGTGAGCCTCTCTTTCCAGCTTGTCCCCGAGGGATGGGACACTGTGGGTGTGGAAATACGGGGTGTTTGCAATCAACAGGTGTGATGGATTCGTTGTTGCTCCTGGGAAAAAAAAACTTATCTGTGCTGCAGTGGCAAAGTATCCCTGGAAGAGGATAACACTGACACTGAAATGACACCTCTGCTTGTGTTTTTTTGCCTTGTGTTTTGAGGTCAATGAAACAGCGTGAAGGGATCTGTGTTGACTCAGGTATTGCCTGCCTTACACACCTGGGACACCGGGCACAGCAAGCAGAATTTATAGTATCGAATTTATGTTTTTTCACCCCCCAAAAATCTGTTGGTGGGAGGGCAAAACCAGAGGAATTAAAAGGTGTTTCCTCCTGTGCTCCAGGTGATCTTTGGGTGTGTGGGAGAGCAGGAGCCAGGCAGGTACAAGGAGCCAGGTGGCCTCAGGGCAGAGGCAGTGGCTGATCAGTGCAATTCCATCTGGAAGGCAGTTATTCCATGCAGAAGCCCCCCTGGAGCTGGGATGGTGTGGTCAGGGGAGCCAGGGGGTCCAATCAGGTACAGCAGCCCCCAAGGAGGAGAATATTTTGTGTGATAGAAAAGGCTTTGATTTTAATTTCTTTTTTTTTTTTTTTTAATTATTTTAAACACATAAATAATGTGTAATTGCACAGAGGGCCCAGCAATTAAAGGTTGATAGTAATTACAGGGTGAGAGAACTCACTGCATGATTTAGGGGTGATTACACTGAACAGGCCTCATCTATTGTAGGTGTTGTCTGGGCCATGTGGGGCAAAACAGGGAGTTGTGGGGAGCAGGGAAGTGTTTCAGTGATTGTTTTGTTAATTATGTTGGACAGAGAAGAGTTTTGTTCCCCTGGGGTGGCTGCAGACCCTGCTGTACCCCACACATCCTCCCCTGTCCCTTTCTGTGATCCAGGCAGGCTGGATGTGGCTGTGCTTGAGGTTGTTTACAAGCTGGAGCAGCTTCCAGTTGCCTCATTCCGTGTGGTGTTTATTTATAGGAGGAGAGGAGCTGGGGAAGGAGGGATGTGTGTGTTCTCCCGAGGGGAAAAACTGTCCTGCACTGACTGCAGGAGGCACGAATTGCATTAACACAGCACCTTTTTAACAGAAAATAGAGACATAAAAGGAGTTTGAGCACTTGGAGGATTCCAGCAGGCTCTGGAAAGAGTAAATGAGTTAAACTGTTGTCACTGGGTCCTGCAGAGTCTTCTCTGAGGACTTACTGATGTGTCTCATACAGGGGGTGGGAGTGAGGCTTGAATGGTTCTTGGACAAGGAGCACAGTCCAGAATTAGGCCCTGTGAGGGCCCAGCTTGGGCAGTCCCAGGTGTGGGATGGTTTGTTGGAGTCCTGAGATTTGGAACCTGCTGGAACAGGCACAGAGTGACAGGAACACACACACACCCCTGCAGGACCTCCTGGGCTGGGGGCACCTCCCCGTGTGGATCAGAGTGACCCTCGGGATCCACTTTAACAGGGATGTGTCTCCTCAGCTCCTCTGAGGGGCAGGAATTGGGTGGGAGGAGTCGGGTGAGGAGTGGGGTGAGTCCTGCCCTGCTCCTGGCACAGCCTGAGCTGGCTCAGGGCTCTGCTCCACCCAGGGAACAGCCCCATTCCCAGTCACTCGGTGGCTTTGGGGTGACCTCTGCTGACGATCAGGAAAATGGCTGTGCCTGGTGGGTTGAAAGAAGAGGGAGGGATCTGGGGCTTTGCTCTGCTGGAAGAAAACAGTGGGACCCTGTGGTGCTCAGCACCTTGGCAGGAGGGCACAGTGACCCCCTGAAGATTGTCCCTCCAGTGATTTGCTCGGTGCTATCTCCCAGCCCTTTCCACCCCACATGCGGAACAGGTTTTTCATGTATCCCTGACTGCCCCTTTTCTAATTCTGCAGGAAAAAACTGGAGAAACACAAATAAATTCATTAAAATTTATTTATAAAATCTTCAAGTAGCCCCAGAAAATCAGGAAAATAGTTTTCTCAGTTATATGAGAATAATCACAAGGAAAACAGTCCAACATAAAATCAGGAATTTTCTTCTATGCTTCAGGAAAGCGGCACCTTTGACCCCCAGAGAAGTGAGATTAGTCCCAGCAGAATCACTGTAATCTAGGATTTGAGATCAGTTTTGCCTCTGACCTTGGCTGACCCCGATCAGACAGGGTACCTGGTTTGCCCCTCGCTGCCCTGTGGCCCAGTTTCCACCTGCATGGTGTTGTGGTTCCCGATCTGGACCATCCGCGCGTGCTGGATGACGATCCCTCCCGGGCCTGGCGTGATGTTGTAGTGGCCTGGTGGGAGCAGTGGTTGGGAACTGGGGGGACCCATCTGAGCTTGTGGGTGGTGCCCAGCAGAGGGAGGGACCGTGGGGGTGTGGGGACACCACTGTTGGGATGGCTCTGGTGGCCACGGCTGTGTCACTGCTGGAGGCACCTGGGAAGGGAGGCCAAGGCTCAGGGCAGCCAAGTTTTTCTGGGCCTGCTGCTCTTCCCAGCGCAGCTGGAGTTTCCTTCTCTGCATCTGCTCCCACATGGCTTTCTTCTGACTGATCTTCTTGGGGTTAAAAGTGTTGTGCACCACCTTGGGGAACAGAGGGGAGCTCTCTTTCAGGGTCACCAGCGCGCTGAGCATCCTGGGGATCTGACTCTGCTCCAGGGCGTTCGCCTTGGGTAAAAACGGGATGACTGAGTAGTGCTTGGACGGGTCGTGGATGGACTGCATCAGAGCAGTGTCTGTCTGGAACAGACACAGGTTGCTTGTGAAGTTCTTGGTTAGCAGGAGGATCATGAAGGCGGAGTTTTCCATCGCCTCCAGGAAGCCTGCCATGTGGCTGCGGCCGGCGACGGAGAAATCCTCGCAGAGTGTGGCCCCGTTGGACACCCCCATGCTCTCCAGCAGCTTCTTGACCCGCTGGGCAACAACCTCATCCTCGCTGGCATGCAGGACAACAAATGTGAAGAACTTGCCACCATCTGGCTCTGACAGGGACACTGGGTCCACAGCTGGGAGAGGAGGAGGAGGCCAGGCTGGAGAGGGGGATGAGCACAGGGGAGGGGGAGTGAAGTTGGAAGGAGGTTCCTGAAGAGGAGGAGGAACGGTTGAGGATAAGGATTGTGTGGGAGGAGGAGGAAAGGAACGGGTTGGAATAGAAGCAGATGTAGAGTTACAAGGAATGCCTGCTGGCATATCAGTGCCTGCTGCAGCTCCTGGGTCAGGAGGACCAGTAGATAGTTGCTTTTCATCTTGCTTTTCATACGTGTTTTCTCTTGGAGCAGAAGGTTCTGTCACTGTGCTGGGAATGTCACTGCTTTGGGCAGGCTGGATCACAGCCCCCTCTGAGGGAACAGGGAGCTCTGGGTGGCAGGAACTGCCCTGCAGACCTTCCTCTGGCCGGGGCACTTGGGCACCTGTGTCCTGGCCGGGGTGGGAGCTGGGGCTGCTGACCCAGCTGGATTCCTGGGGGCTCTGTGTGTCCCTGTTGGGGTGTCCAGCACTGCTGGGCTGGGGGACGCCCTCAGGGGGAGAGGGAGGGCTGTGGAAAACCAGTGTTGGCGATTCACTGACCTCCAAAGAGCTGGGGAGAGAGGAGCTCCCCGTGGAGCACAAGGTCCGTGGGGCTGAGAGCTCGGAGTTGCCTCCGATCTGCACTGGAGAACTTCTCAGCACGTAACTGGAGCTGCCCCTCCGGAGAAATCCCGTGTTCTCATCGGATCTCAGCGTCTGAAATCTGTCACTCGGGCCCAAGCTGGTAGCAAACCCCTGCTCCTCAGGTAGGATGTTGTTGAGCATCCCCCTCTGAGTGTCCTGGCAGGCTTTGGTGGCAGCCTGGCGGGCCTTGTCCCAGGCCTCAGGACTGCACAGCTTCTCCTGTGCCAACACTTTGTACACCTGTGCCAGCAGTGCCACGGCACCTGCATCCAGCTGGGGAGGCTGCACATCCTCCCCATCCTCTTGCCTTCCTGCAGCACCCAGCTTGGTCTGCTGGACATACCGGGCTGCTGGGTTATCCCTCAAGGCATCCAAACAAATCCTTGCCTCCGTGTCTTGCCCCAGGGTGAGCAGGACCATGGCTTGCAGCAGCTTGCTGCTGGGCCCGGGTATCAGGTGCCTCAGTTTGAGTTTGAGGCTCAGGAGTTTGTCTTGTGGGACCCGGGACAGAATATTAAACACGTCCTCAAAGCTTGGCTGGAGCTCAGTGCTCTGTGCCATCTCAGCAGCTGCTGGCCCAGACCATGGAGTGAAGCGGCAGGGATGGAAAAATCATCTTATGGCATCTTTTGTTCCCGTGTGGGGCTCGAGGGTGTCCTGGTTGCGCCTCTCGTACCACACAAGCTCTTTGTGCCCAGGGCTCGTCTTGGAACTGGGTTATCTCTGTCCTGGGGAACCTGTGAGGAGAACAGAGGACAGTTCAGAGAGGGTGATGTGGGGAGCTGAGGGGATGCTCCCAGGGCTCGTGGAGCTCCCAGACGCTCCCTCAAGTATTTTTGCCTCTGTTCTGTGCTTGCAGCTCTGCCAGCGCTCCGTGCGTTATCCCAGCCCTGTGATCAGCAAAGGGCTCGTTCCTTGCATTCTTTTCACAGTAATGATAACTGGTTTTAAATAATTACTGAAGTAATGATGTGTTTAGGTAAATGTGAGTGGCTGTCTCCTCCAGGCAGGGGGTTCCAGAGGCCTTCTTGTGCTGGCAGTTGAGGAATAAAGCAGGCTTGGAGAAAACCCTTTCCAACTGATAACCCGAGTGCATCCCCTGTCAGGCTGCTGATCATGAAATGGTTTGGGTTTGGAGGGACCTTTAAGATCACCCAGTTCCACCCCCTGCCATGGGCAGGGACATCTTCCACTAGCCCAGGGTGCTCCAAGCCCCGTCCAACCTGGCCGTGGATGCTTCCAGCCACAGGTTGCTCTGGGTAACCTGTGCCAGGGCCTCCCCACCCTCACAGGGAGGAATTCCTTCCCAATATCCCATCGAACCCTGCCCTCTGGCACTGGGAAGCCATTCCCTGTGTTCTGTCCTTCCTGGCCCTTGTCCAAAGTCTCTCTCCAGCTCTCTTGGAGCCCCCTGGATCCTTCTCTTCTCCAGGTGGACACCCTCAGCTGTCCCAGCCTGGCTCCAGAGCACAGGGACTCCAGACCTTGGAGCGTCTCCGTGATCTCCTCTGGGCTCACTCCAGAAATTTCATGGCCCTCTGATGTTGGGGTCCCGGAGCTGGGACTAGGGACATTGTATCCCCATCCTCAGCTGGTCCCTGAGCCCCCGCACTCACCCAAGGCCTCTGACAGGGGTTTAATTAAACAGCAGGAGTGTCCGGAGCAGAGGAGCTGATTCCCGGTGGGACACCGCTCCAGGCGCTGCCTGAGCACTACCGCGGGAACTTTCCCTATTTAAAGGCAGCCCAAGCAAGTGCCCCCGAGTGCCTCTCGACTGTGGAAACTTTCTACTTTCAATCTGCTCGTTTCCGCTCTCATAAAAATCCTCCAATTGCCCAACGAGCGCGGAAGTTGCAGCGGGCGAGGCGGGGGCAGCGCTCGGGTCTGATCCCCGCGGGAGCCGGGGAGGGGTGGGATGAGCCGGGGAGGGATGGGATGAGCCGGGGAGGGATAGGATCAGCCAGGAAGGGATGGGATCAGCCGGGAAGGGAAGGGATCAGCTTACCTGCGGCCAGTGCCGGTGCCCGGGGCAGGCGGAAGCGGCGCGGGGCGATGGGCACGGCCGGGGCGGAGCGGGGCGGGACCGGGGGAACCGGGACAGGGGACAGCTCCTCCAGGGCCTGGGGACTTCAACAGGAGCATCTCAGCCCCCCTGAGCCGCCACCTCCCCCTGTCTCGACCAGCCCTGTCTGGTGTCTCCCCCCATGAACTCGTAGAGGTGACACCAAAAGATTTATTAAAACAAAAAAGAGGCAAATTATGAGCCCCTCTTAAGACGTTTTGAGAACTTGAATAAAATCCTCCCTCAGTAGCGTAATAGAGTCAAGGTGACAATGAATAAGGGAGCTTGAAAACATCTAATCCAGGTGTTGTTCCTGGGTTTGGGTACATTCCCTAACACTTTAATTCTGGTGTAGGGTGCTGATCAAACACTAAGAAATGTGAATTTAGGGCAAAAAATAAACTTGAAGCCGCAAATCTAATAGAGAAACATTGATAGCAAACACACAATAAGAGGGCAGCTGTTGAAGGGGGGTTCAGAGCAGTGGGGGCACTGCCTCGAGGAAGTGTTGGAAGTGGGATGAGTGAGGATGGACAGCCCAAGATCCAGAGGGGTGAGGGGGAGACAGGAATGGGACATGAACAGAAGCACCTGAGCCTCAGGCAGAAGTCTTGGGGACAAAAGATGTTTTTCTGCTTCAGAAAGCATGGGACATGCTAAAAGCAATTTGTTTTTTCCCCCTCCAGCAGGACCAAGCCTGGCCAGAGAAGAGGTCTGGTAAATGCAAGCTTTGAAGCAGCTCAGGTAAGGGGAGAACTCGACACTGCAGCTTTAGGTTCACACAAACCCACACGCCTCTGAACGCAGGTCACACTTTATTCTGGTGTCTGCTCAGCAGCTCCAGCACAGGGGCCATGACAGAACACGAGTTACCCAAATAAATTACATTAGAAGTTGTTACAAAGCCTTGTTGGCTGGGAAAGAACCAGCACCTTCCCCCCTTCCTCCCCCTTTTAATAGCAGGATATGCTAATCCCATGGCAGGCAGAGTAAATCCTGGGAAAAGCTGCCTTGTTTGCCAGCTTAGTGGCTGTGAAGTGTTTCAGGCCTGCAGTTACACAACCATGATCCCTGGAGTCAGTGGCAGAGCTAGGAAAGATAAGGCCCTAAAAACCGTGGTGATTAAAGAAAACCCCACCCTGCTGAGTGTTCCTCCATGAAGGAAGAAGTGTTTGGCTGATCCACGAAGAGAAATCTCTTCCTGAGGAGCAGCTTCTGGCTCCAGCTGTGCCAGATGTGCCGCATCCGGCCCAGCCTCCCCGGAAGCACAAGAGGCACAGAGGAAGTCGAGTCCTTGCCGGGCATTTTTGAACTCGTAGAAGGCGGGAAACGGTGTCACAAAAGTCGAGCTCAGCATCTCCTCAAGTTTTCCACGGCTTGGGTGGAATTAAAAGCAAATCCTACATTTTAAAAATAAAAGCTGAGACAACTTCTTCTCTGCCACAACTTGTCTCAGCAAGAATAAGCCACTCACACGAGCAGCTTGGTTGACAAAGAGCTGAAGTGCAGGTCCCCATCTTCCCTTTCAGCGCAGCAGGGATTTAAAAATAGTAAATCAAGATACACAACCACCCTCCCCCCTCGGTTGTCAAATGTCCTTGCAACTGCATCTGACTGTAAACTCAGAGCAGGAGGCACTTGTGGCACAACTGGACACACGACTAAAACATCAAGTGCAGTTCTAACCAGGGAGCCTTGGCCAGAAGAGCTGGGATTTATCAGAGACCTTCCTCTGGTGCACTAGTTTTTACCTCCCTTGCAGCCAGTGCCACCTCTGTGTCTTTCTCTGCCTCCTCTTCCTCCAGCTTCCCTGCTTTCTTCACTTTCCCTGCCTTCCCTTCCAGCTTTCCTGCCTTCCCCTCCCGCTTCTCTGTCTTCACCTTTCCTGCCTCCTCCTCCACCACCTTCTCTGCTTCCTTCTCCACCAGCTTCTCTGTCTTCTTCACCTTTCCTGCCTCCTTCTCCAGCTTCCCTCCTTCCTCCACCAGCTTCTCTGCCTCCTTCACCTTTCCTGCCTCCTTCTCCAGCTTCCCTGCTTCCTCCTTCACGTTTCCTGCTTCCTCCTCCAGCTTCTCTGCCTCCTTCACCTTCCCTGCCTCCTCCTCCAGCTTCCCTGCTTCCTCCTTCACCTTTCCTGCCTCCTTCTCCCTCTTCTCTGCCTCCTCCTTCAGCTTATCCAGCACTTCATACCACGTTTCCCCTGGGATCCTGTTGGTTCCCTTGAGCTCTCTGGGTGTCTCAGTCGCCTCCTGTGATGATGGAGCCTTTTCCAACACGGGTAACTTCCTATCAGTCACCATCTCTCTCTTCTTCTGCTTTCTGCTGCCCTGAGCCACCTCAGCTATGGCCCTGAAGGGCCCCACGAGCCAGTTCAGGGGGATGTTGTGAGTGACATACTCAAACAGGACATCGAGGGACCTCCGGGCTTCTGTCACACAGTCCTGGCTCTGCATCAGGGTGATGCTGGAGAGGTCCTGGAAGGACATGGCATTGGAAAAAGAGCTATGGAGCTTGTGGATATTTCGAGTGGCCTGATACACAGCCTCTTGGATGTTGCTGGGGAGGCCTTGGATGCTGGTTTTCAGGTTCTCATAGACAGGCTGTAGCTGCTGGGTGATGATCCTCAGCATAGTTAGAGTGCGGGACTCTACCTGCTGGGAGAGAGACAGCTCAGTTACCAGAGCAGGTGGGATGGCCACCAGCCACCTAAGGCCTGGCCAAATACACCTTGCAGGGATACCTCTGGCTGGCAGGCAGTTTGAACTTGGTTTCCTTTGGGTTGGGTCAGGCACCAGTTCACCCACAGCTGATGGAGCTTCTCCTGCCCTTCCAGCAGCTTCTGGCCAAAGCTCTCCTTCACAGACTCAATCTGATGGGGAAAAACGAGAGGAGCAGCTGCATTGCAAGCACACACAGAGAGAAGCAGGAGGGCTTCCCTGCCAGGGAGGGATCCAAGGTGACAGTGGTGCAGGGTGGAGGAGCAGCTTCCAGCTGGCTAGCAGGGCAGGAAGGCTACAGACAGGAGGAAAGTGTGTGTGTGTGGGGGGAAAAGCGTGCCTGTACCAGTTTGATTGCCATCTGCAGCCGTGACAGGGTGTCCTGGGTGCTCTGGCGGATGCACTGCAGCTTGTGCAGGGAGTGCTGGTAGGCTCTGAGCCGGGCTCTGCTGGACAGGGAGCCCAGGCGCACAAAGTAACTGCGCTGCTCCTTCTGCTCCTCCACGGACACCATCCCAGAGCCCTCCACGGCGGTGGCCAATTTACCTGGAGGAGACAAGAACAGAGATGCAAGCCGGGCTTCCCTCCCCCAGCTGGGAGGAGAGGGGAGAGGTCAGATTAACCCCTGGGAGAACAGGAAGGTTGCTGTGGGAACAGGAGAGGTTTGTGGTTGTTCAGGTGGTAAAGGCAGCCCCTGCTCAGCACGTTCTCTTCAGATAAGCAGACTCGATGGAGAGGTTGAAGCGTGAACCCATGTGTTTATTTACCTTGAGGCTGATGGGCAGGGACCAATAAATGCTTGAACTCTGTCCCATACCACGTGGCAATTTGGTGTTGGCGAATTCAGAGCTACCTGTCTGCTTCAGAAGCTGAGTCTTGCTGGGTCAGGTGCTCTCTAGTCACGTGGGGAAAGGATTTGCATTTAGAGCCGCCAGGGAAGGAGTTTTTTACCTAGTTCCTCCTCTGTCATCGGGAGGAAGTGATCCACCAGATCTTCTGACATCTCCAGGACAGATTCCACACCCCCAGCCACTGCCTGGCTCACCGCCTTGGCCTTGCTGATGCTGTTGGTCACCACTGAGTTGGTCATCTCCACGCCCGTGCTTATCTTGCTCGAGATGGTGCTATAGGCAGCGTCCAGGGCTGTACTGACCGTGGAGGTGACCACGGATTTGGTCTTCTCAACACTGTCTTGGACAGCCCCTTTGGTCAGGTCCACTGCCTCAGTCACCTTGTTGGTCACCAGGTCCTTGGCACCTTGGGCAGCCCCTACAGCTGCACTGATGGTGGAAGCAACAGCAGACTTGGTCCTGTCCACGCTGTCCTCCACCATGTGCTTGGTGACATCCACAGCCTCTGTCACCTTGCTGGTCACCAGCTCCTTGGCTCCCTGGGCAGCTTCCACAGCGTTGACAATCGTGGAAGCAACTGCAGACTTGGTCATGTCAACGCTGTCTTCTACAATGTGCTTGCTGAGGTCCACTGCTTTGGTCACCTTGTCTGTCACCAGCTCCTTGGCTCCCTGGGCAGCCTCCACAGCGCTGACAATGGTGGAAGCAACAGCAGACTTGGTCCTGTCCACACGGTCCTCCACCACGTGTTTAGTGGCATCCACTGCCTCCGTCACCTTCGTGGTCACCATGTCCTTGGCTCCCTGGGCAGCCCCTACAGCTGCACTGATGGTGGAAGCAACAGCAGACTTTGTGTCCTCCACGGCCTCTGTCACCTTGTTGGTCACGAGGTCTTTGGCACCTTGAGCAGCCTCCACAGCGTTGACAATGGTGGAAGCAACTGCAGACTTGGTCTTGTCCACATGGTCCTCCACCATGTGCTTGGTGACATCCACAGCTTCTGTCACCTTGGTGGCCACCAGCTCCTTGGCTCCCTGGGCAGCCCCTACAGCTGCACTGATGGTGGAAGCAACTGCAGATTTAGTGTCCTCCACGGCCTCTGTCACCTTGCTGGTCACCAGCTCCTTGGCTCCCTGGGCAGCCTCCACAGCGTTGACAATGGTGGAAGCAACAGCAGACTTGGTCTTGTCCACACTGTCCTCCACCATGTGCTTGGTGACATCCACGGCCTCTGTCACCTTGCTGGTCACCAGCTCCTTGGCTCCCTGGGCAGCCTCCACAGCGCTGTTGACAGTGGAGGTGACCACTGACCTGGTCAGCTTGACGCTGTCCCCAACCACACTTTTGGTGAGGTCCACAGCTTCAGTGACCTTCTCAGCCACGGCTCCTCTGGCCTCGCAGGCGGCGTCCATGGCAGATGTCACCTTGGTGGAAACCAGCTGCTTGGTGTCCGACAGCACCTAGGGCAGGGAGAGGCAGAGAAAGATATTTTAGGGGATAAAAAAAAAAAATGGTAGTGCCTCCTCTAACCCCTTCCAGGGCCTGGCCTGGCACAGCCCTGCTGGAGTTTATTTCCCCCGTATTTCTTCTGCACCCAAAACAGTCCCACCAAGCCACGGCTTCCCCCAGGAAAAGCCTTTTCTCTACCTTGTCTGCTGGCTGCTGAAGGAAGGGCAAGGTCTCCTCCAGCTGATCCAGTCCTTTACAGGCATAGTCATTCACAAGTGCAACTAGAAGAGACAACCAGAGGTACCAGTTTATTCTTCAGTTTGGGGAGGGATTTTTGACCCTGCAATGGCCAGTTCAGAATGTCCAGTTCGTGAAAGCAAGGCCAAAATACATAAATCCCCATTCTGGGGTGGGATGTGTGTGGTTTTCTCATGAAAAAGGGAACAAACCCTACAATTTGGCAGGTTCAAATAGTCTCGATTTTGCCTTCCCAGCTTTCTAGCTGTAGAATTTCCTCCAGCTGGAGTGTAGCACTTGCTTTTTAATAAGGTTTAAAGGCTTCAAAAGCACTGGGATGGACAAGCCTGAGCTATATCCAAGGCGGACACTGCTCCTACCAGCTGGGGTGGTCAGAACTTGGGAGTGGTGGAGGAAGAAAAGGCAGTTTCTACTTTGTATCTTAAAGAAACCAAATTGTTTCCGCCAGTAACAGATTTGCGTCCAGGAAATTCAGTGTCCAGGAGCTGAGTGGGAGATAACAGCGCTAGAATGAACCAGACCAGGGTGCTGTAGGAGCTGGGTAGGACCCACCAGGCACACATCAAAGTCCCCTCCCCACCTACTCCTCTGTTCCCAAGGGTCTCTCCAGCCCCTCCACTCACTCTGTGGCTCCAGCTGGTTCAGGATGGGCTGTGCCCCTCCAACCACACTGCCCACTGCCACGGCTGCCACCGTCTCAGCCACGTTGCAGACGCCACTGAGGCAAGGGTGGGACTCCTTGGTGTAGTTGTAGGCAGAGGAGACCAGGTTGAAGGCAGAGTTGAGCAAGGGCAAGCTGGTCACTCGATTGACAGCGCTCTGAAACCCAGGAGGAACAGTGACATCAGAGCCCAGCCTCGAGCTGGGGGGGTGCACACAGCCACGAGTCTGCCCAGGAAGGTCCCAAAGGCACAGCAAACCCATGTCCTAATCTTTCTTAAACTCAGGGCTGGGAAGATTCATCCCAAGGCCTCTACCAAGCCAGTGACAAAACAAGGTTAACAGTTTGAGCTCTGGGCTCGTGGACTCTGAGTCACACTTTGGTTTCAGCACCAGAGCAGATGTGGAAGTAGGACCTGTAAGCTCATGTTTCAGAATTACTTGCATCACTTGAGCCAGTCCAGAAGTTCTCCTGAGCCAAACATTTGCCTCCCTGCGTTAAGGGAGTTTCGGTTTGGCCACAGCTTCACGTGCTTTATCTTTCTGTGCCCCCCAGCCTGGTTTTGGGGGAGAAGAGGGGGCTGGCAGGAGATTTCCAGAGTGCTGTTTAGTGTTGCCCTGGCACCTACCGCTTGCTGCTGCTCCTCAGCCTTCAGCAGGTCTGGTTTTGGGGTCTTTCCTGAGGCCATCCTGAATTCAGCTGCAGCTGAAAGGAAAGACAAGGGTTTAACAGCACAACTTCATCTCCTGCAGTGAAATAAAGTCCCACTAAAACAGGAGAAAAGCAGAGGGCAATTGGCTGAAAGCTGCAGGTTGGAAATAGGTGAGAGATGTCTTATCTGTCTTGTGTTTTCTCTGGGTGGTGGGGTGACCATGGCTGGACACCAGACACCCACCAAAACCACTCCATCACTCCCTTCCTCAGCTGGGCAGAGGAAAGAAAATATAACAAAAGGTGGAGATATAACATAGATATGTATCATATGTGTATAAATATAACATGGGTGGACATAAGGACAGGGAAGGACCACTCACCAATTATTGTCATGGGCAAAACTTGAGGGAAATTCATTTGTTACCAATCAAAGCAGAGTAGGATAATGAGGAATAAACCCAGATCTTAAAACCACTTCCTCCCACCCCTCCCTGCTTCCCAGGCTCAACTTTACTCCTGAGTTCTCCACCTCCTGCCACCCAGCAGTGCAGGGGGGACAGGGAATGGGGGTTGTTTATAGCCCTTCTCCTCTGGAATACCCTCTGCAATGGATATTCAGGGGAGTTACTTTGCAGTCACCCCCCTTTTCCTGTGTTCATAGTGAAGGACTTGTCAGCTTCTCCAGCACTGCCCACTCCAACACCACTGGCAGGCTCATGGCTCTGGGACGGACACAACAATCCTGGGGAGTTTTCCCAGGAGGATGAGCCAGGTTTCCCAGGTGCAGCATTCCAGCTTGAATCTTGCCTTCCCATCCTCCCAGTTAGGCAGGAAATCTGCCCTCACTTCCTGTGAAACCAAGGCTCAGCAGCACTCTCGTGACATAATGGGATTAAAGAAGTGTTAATGATGCAATCATTTAAGTGTCTGTTGGCTTTCCCAGCACAGACCTCGGTTGGTATCTGGACACTCCAGCATTGGCAATAAATCCAGGATTAATGCTCAGCCTTGGTCAGGCACAGCAGGGATTTGTGCACGTTTGTTCTTCAGTACAGACTCTGCTTTCCTCTCCTTTCCAATTAATTCCTGCTCTCAGATTTGCTGTGGCATTTTCCAATGGAAAACCCTCAAACCAAAATCCCTCCCAGACTGGATTCCCAAGCCACACGCTGCTCCAGGCTCCCTGACAGACTCTATCCCAAAAAAACTTGCCCTCTGATTCACGGCAGAGCCCATTGTCTCATTTCTTGTGTTCTTTGCCTCGTGTAAGGATTTTATTTTACTGAGAAACGGGAACAGAGAGCTGTGGAGAAGCAGTGAAACCAGCAATTGTGAGCCTTGGACTGGGCAGAGACATCTCAGGAGGTGACTTGGTCAAACATCAAATATTTCTGCATTAACCGCTCAGTTGGTCAGAATTCAGTGAGGTTTGAGCAGGGCAGGGATGCAGGGTGGTACAGCAGCACAAGTCATCACCTCCAGCCTCTCCAGTGAGAAGCCAAGAGCCAACACTCCCCTGGCAATCCCACCTAATTTAACTGCACAGCAAAACCAGCTTGAACTTCACCAGGCTGGGAGAACTTGTAGCAAACTGCTCCCAACAAAGCAGGGCTTGAAGGTGAAATCCCAGTCCCAGAGTCGGGGGTTTGGTGTCAGTGGCTCTTCCTCTGTGCTTCGCTTTCGGGCAAGTTTGTTGTTTCTTTGAGTCCGAGCAGGCAGACTCAGGGGCAAAGCACAGCTCTTTCAACACCATCACCACAAACAACCCCCTTTGCTCAGTTATTTTGCTTCTGGACGGGTGGGAAAAGCTCAAATTGTGGAGTTTGACACCATGGTCTTGGTGTCAGGGTCAGCACAGCAAGAAGAGAGGATAGAAATCAGGAGCAACTCCCTGGCTGATAGAAAATCAGGTAGAAGGTTAAAATCCACCTCTGAAGTGCGGAGATCCCACGTTAATTGTGGATGCAGCCTTGCCAGGGATAATCCTTCAGCACAGTCGTGTCAGAACAAGATTTGCTCTCTGTGTGGGAGAGATCCACGTGTTGCAACACCAGGGGTTTGCAGTGTGGGCAGATCTCCACAAACCCACAGCGTGGTTTTATTTTCTCTTTCCCCTGCCAGAGTGCTGAGTGTTTTACTTCAGAGGCTGCAGGAAAACACGGTGCTTGGCAGCTCTGGGCCAGCTGGTGCAGAGGGCACGGCCAAGGCAGGATTTTGCTGTGGGTGGAAGTCCTGGCGGGCAGAGGAGCAGAAACAGCATCACTGGTTGCTTTGGTTGTGGTTTGCTTCATATGAAAGTGAAGAGCAGATGATTTCATACCATTGCTACATCAGAAATATTAGGTCACTGCTGGAGAAAGTTGTTGAAACGGTGGTTTCAGGACGATGAAACTCTCCAGTTGTGCTTTCCCAGGATCAAGAGCTGAACTGGTGATTCTTGCCCAGCTGGGCACAGGTCTGAAGTCAGTGAAGGAGCAAGGGCTGGCACCAAACAGCAGGACAGTGGCACCAAACCCACCCAGCTGCTCCATTTCCCTGCCTTGGTCAGGCTCATCCCACCCTGGGCTGGCAGAAGAGCCAGTAGTTTTCCTGCTGGGATCAGCACTTCCCTGATTTCTCTGGCTCTGACAGGGACCAGTGCACACAAAGCTGGTTCTTTAACTCCCCTTGGCTGTAAGGTCCTTATTTTCCCTGTGGAAAGCAGCTCTGCTCCATGAGAACAGGCTGCTGGTGTGTTGTCCTGCAGGCATCAGTAGGATCTTCATGTCCAGGAGGCTTTTCTCCCTTCCAAAGGGATTTTACCTTGGGAGGACAGAACCACAGCCAGGGTGGCTGGTTCTTTATTGACCATCGAGGAAAACAAAGCTGAATTTAGTGCTTTAGATCCGAGCAGGGAGGGCGAATCAGGGCAGAGGTATTTGTGGTCAAAACACTTACCTGCATTCTTGTCGGGATTTGCCACTGATACCCCAGTTCCCAAAAATGCAGGACTAGCTCACAGGATGTCTGTGGGGAGTGGGCTGCAAATGCTCCTGAGGGCAGAGGCTCTTTTAGGAGCAGCATCAAAGGGTTTCCAGCCTCGGCCTCAGGATATGAGTTAGAGGGTGGCTGGCAGAGGTGCCCCCTCTCACCTTTCTGGATAAACCAGCAGCGTTAGGGAACCTCCGAGATCAAAGCCAGATCTGCAGATCAGGCAGAGCTTCCCACACACCCTTCCAAGGGGAATGAAACACCCCAACCAGTGGCCATCACTGGATCAGTAACTCCTTGGAAAAGAGGAGAGGAAGTTTTTAATTCCAACAGCTTCTCAGCACTTCCCACTTCCCAGTTTTTCCACGAGGTTTCAGCTGGAAGCTGTAACTTGCAGAGCAAGCAGCTCAACGCATTTTCCGTCTGGAAGTTTCAGCAGAACCAGCTCCGGCAACTGAAATCCTTCCCAGCCATCCACAGTCCCAGGTAATCATTGCCACACTGAAAAACTTGCTAGTCTTGAGAAACACTGGTGCAGTTTGAGGGAGCCCTGCAGGGACACGGGGCTCTTGAGCAAGAGCTTTGGTTCCTTTGTCACTCAGCCGCCCCCTTCCCAAACACCATTACCGTGCCTACACCGGACTATCATGTGAAATAGCCCCGGGCAGCGCCGTCACAGGAAGGGAATGCCCGACTGATCACCTGCCCCTGGAGCACCCACTGCTTCCCCCGCCATCAGCGCGGCCCGGGGGGATGCCCCTCACGTGCTGCCCCTGGGTGGGAGTCACCTCCTGTGCACCCCCCCCGGCATCTCCAGCAGACAACAAAAAAGGAGCTTTTAAACCCCAAAACTCTTCAATCTCAGATCCACGGAGTCACCAGGGAGCCATCTCAGAGCTCACGAAGGAGCAGTCAGGGAAGGATTTGAGTCCCTGAACGGTTTGGTTTGGAAAGGACCTTAAAGGTCACCTCGCCCCAACCCCCAAGCCTTCCAGCCCATCCCCAGGGCACACAGACACATCACGACACCCTGGAACACCACCTTTGGCCTCAAAAAACCGAGACACCTCCCCCCCCCCCCCCCCCCCCCCCCAATCCCCAGAAAGCAGCAGGGACACAGCACCCGGTTCCGTGGATTTCCCAGCGAGCTGGAAAAGCCCCGTGGGCACACGCAGCTCCCGAGCAGCTCCGGGCTGGAGGGATGGAGCCAAGTCCATCCCAACCTCCAACCCAGCGAGGATTACAAAGAGCCCCCCGAGAAAAGGGGGCTGCAGAACCCCTGCGAGAGCAGAGGTGGCCTTGGGGAGTCCCCCTCACAGCCCCAAAACAAGTGATAACCCCAACACAGCCCCCACCTGCCCCCCTTCCCTTCCCCTCCAGCCCAGCCTTACCTGGCTCAGCCCAACCTCAGCAGCTCCTCCGCTCCCGGCACTGGCAGAACTGGGAGCACTGGGCGTCGCCCCAAATAAATACCCCAAAGGGTCGATGGGCGGCTCAGGGAGCCAATTGGGAGGGTGCAGGTGCCACCCTGGCCAATGGGGAGGGGGTGGGAGAGGGAGGGGCGGTAGGTAGGGGGGGCAGGGAAGGGTCTGGGGGGTCTCTCGAGGTTCTGGGTGGTGTGGGAGCTGCTGTTTGTCCCCCCAGCAGGGACACACCTCACAGGGTGTCCCAGACGACCCTATTGGAGGGTGTCCATGCCCCAGAGCTTTGGCCTTGGGGTCATGGAGTCACAGAATATCCTGAGTGGCAAAAGACCCCCAAGGATCATCCAGTCCAGCTCCAGGCCCTGGCCAGGACACCCCAACAATCCCCCCCTGTCCCTCAGAGCATTGTCCAAACCCTCCTGGAGCTCTGGCAGCCTTGGGGCCGTGCCCACTGCCCTGGGGAGCCTGGGCAGTGCCCACCACCCTCTGGGGAAAGAACCTTTCCCTGAGATCCATCCCAACCCTCCCCTGTGGATAGGGATGTGCCCCTGACATGGCAGGTGTTGAGGGACGCAGGCACTGGAATTCCCCAGGAATCATCCCCATGGTGGTGAAGAACTTCTCTATGAGGGTGAGTGAG